TATTGATCCGAGTATTGAGCCCTTGGGTATACCACTAGCAACTTACCTCCAACTGGACTTTGTGGTACTGATCACAATCCTCTGGGCCTGGGCATTATGCCAGTTTTCAGTCCATCTCACTATCCGCTATTAACCCATATTTTGTCTGCTTCTCCATCATGATGTTATGGGAAACTGTGAAAAGCTTTACAAAGTTGAAGTAAATGGCATCAACTGCCTTCCTCTCATCCAGTAAATTGGTCACCTCATTGTTGAAGGCAATGACATTGGTTAAACATGGGTTTCCCCTTTGTAAATCCACGTTAACTACTCAAACCATCCTCTTGTACTTCATGTGCTTGGAAGTGCTTTCCAGGATGATTTTCTCTGTCAGGTTCCCAGGGACTGAGGTGAAGCTGACAGGCCTGTAGCTTCCCAGTAGTTCCTTCTTTCTCTTCTTGAGGATAGGAGTGAAATTTGCTCTCTTCCAGTCTTCAGGAACCTCTCCCAACTGCCATGACCATTCAAAAACAATTGAGAGTGGCCTCACAATGACATCAGCCAGTTCCCTCAGCACTCACAGGTGCAACCTGTCATGCCTCATAGACTTAAATACAACCAATTTGTATGCTCCTTAGCCTGGCCTCTTCCACTGAAGGCAAGTCTACCTCTTTCCAGACTTCCCCTCTGGTCTCAGGCGTATGGGATTCCTTAAGGCCAGTCTTACCAATGAAGACTGAGGCAAGGAAGACATCAAGTACTTCAGCCTTCTCCATGTCCTTTGTCACAAGTTCCCCCACCCGATTCAATGGGGGTTGGGAGCATCTTTTTGCCCTCATCTTCCTTTTGCTCTTATATAGTTGTAGAAACCTTTCTTCTTGCCCTTCACATCCCTTGCCAGATTCAACTACAGAGGGGCCTTGGCTTTCCTAATCCTTTGCCTCCAAGATCACAAAGCAATTCTATGCTCCCTTTGGGTCATCTCCCCCTGCTTCCACCGTTTCTACACTTCCTGTTTGAGTTCAGTTAGGAGCTCCTTGCTCATCCATGCAGGCCTCCTACCACCTGTGCTTGACTTTCTACTTGTCAGGATGGATCTTTAGGTCTTCCATGCAGACACAAGCCAATCCCCCAAAAGAAACATCTTCAATAGCAGTCAGTCAGCACCGATAAATTTTAACTTTGCAGTGAATACTTCTCCAAAACACTAAAAAAAGTGCTGCTAGGGAAAAGCTCTTTTTCAATCATATTGATATGAAATCAACACCAAAATAACAAAACACACTACTGTTCATGAAGTGTTTTCTTTCTGAGCATTCTATGTATTCTTCCTGGGTAACATGGATCTTCATTGTGCCAGCTGGCGTTTGAGTAATCTCATAGCTTTTTTTCACACCTTAATTATACCTCATGGGTGCTTTTGCAACAGACTTTGACTAACTCTTTAAATGAACAAAAAAAAGTATCTTTTAGAAGAAAGTACTTCTACAGAAATCAGTCTGAAGCTATTCCTCTGAAATAAAGCAGCTACTTTAAGTGTCTTGAGACAGGAATCTTACTCATTAAATGTTGACTAGAAATAGCTATAGTGTTTAGGACTCCAGCAGCTTTAAGTGATGGCTTTAAAATAATATAGTAAAGGCAAGTCAACTGAGGCTCCATGCAATTTTTATTTTAATAATTGGACAAATACAGGAAAATTTGCAATAATCTATTAAAAACATATCTTATCAAGAACCAGAAAGGTGTTTAAAAAACATTCACATTCAATTCAGATTATGTACAAACCAGTGTTTGTAAAAAAGAAAACAGCAAATGCTTTGAGTGTAAAAGAATCCTATTATAGTTCATGTTTCAGCGTTCCCAATGACCAAGTTACCAGTGAGATGCAATCACAGTGCAGACATGTTCCACAGTCTATTAAACTCGTTTCAACAGCATCATTGCCAAAATATTTTTTTTCCAATAAAGCATTTTGAGAAGTTTCTTCATACAGTACCATCCACCCCAAGGGTACTCCCCTGCATATTTAATTCTTGACTGCACTTATGGCAGAACAGCTGTCTCATACAGGCCCAAGGTGCATTATAATATATATCCACATCTCTATAGGTACAGATGTATATCTATATATCCAAGAAGCACCAGTCTCATATGCCTGAAATAGTCAGGGTCTGCTTTGGACCTTGATAACAGATATTTTTAGTGGAGCCCAGCCCTTGATTATTTGGCTCGAAGAAGTCACCATTTGCTCAGTCAGAATTATTCTGAATGTGCTGCAATAACAGGTGCGTACCTTCAAGACTCATCTCACACAGATGACATCTGAATTTGAGTGCCACCATAACAGCCATACATAGATATGACAGCGTCATACACCTTCGCTGTTAGAAGTCTTTTTGCTCTGGATTACATCCCTCAACACAAATAAAGGAGACATGAAAGTGGCTGGGTTTTAGGTAAACCTGTAACTCAGTATTACGTTTTCTAATATATTTATTTCAAGCTTAGCCAAAGAAGGAGACTAATCATTGATGGAAGCTTAAAGGAGAGAGAAATGACTACTGAAACAGTCACACAACAGTTATCAGTCAGCCTGCCTGGGCACAAAAATAACTTAATAACAAAAACTCTCTCAAAAATGCAGACTACATATCAGAAGTCTTTCAGATATACCAAGCTAACCAAGCTGAAACAGTCTCAATGTTGGTGTTTTAAGGATGAAGGAGAGAAAAGTGACACAACCTTCATGCTTACGTAGTAACAACCCAAACGCAAGCAAAAACTATTCCCAACGGAACATTATGGACATCAAGTACTGAGATGATCTTTAGTTGCAGGATCTCATTTTGAACACAAGCTACCATGACTTGGCATAAGAGGGTAAATCTAGAAAACTTCATCCTGGTTTTTGAAGGTGTATATAAGACCTGGTAATAAGCAGCATACTTTAACGTGTATTGGCCTGGGCTTGAAAAGATTTCCCTTCTGAATTTATTTTGAGATTCAAATACATAAACTTGAACAGTTTCTGTGAACAGAAATTTTATAGTCTCCACCACTGTAACTTCACACTAGCTCATAAATTAAAACTTCAGGATAGCAGAAGCAGCTCTGGAGAGTGGAAGACTGGCAAATTAGTGTTTGAAGATTCTGAGCTCTTTCTTGGGTTGTACGTCTAACACCCATTCAAGTATGCGGAAAGGCTTTTGTGTATTTCTACAGATTCTAAAGAAACTCTTAACAGAGCTAGTGCTCCCATGGTGCATATTTAAGCCAAGAAAACAAACAATAAAGATGACTGCTGTATTTAAGTAACAATTCTTAACTGAGAGTCGGCTCAGATAGGCAAACAGATGCTAGTGACGCCAACTCTTCACAAACCTATTCTATACAATGAAACAACAGTTAGGATGCCCAATAAAACACACAAGGGAACTTTCTTAGATATAATTCTCAGGAAAGGGACAAGTTACAATAGCATAAGAAACCTTCAAAGTCTTGTAAAAAAAAAAAGAAAACCTCTTTTAAGTCAGGCTTCATTGCAGCAAAATCTGGAACGGTGACTTAAGCTAGAAAACACAAGCAAGTTTGACTTGAAAAGTCAGTGTAAGCAACTTTGATATGGTTACTTTATTAATGCTATCCACGACGAATCAGCACATAAATGAGATGAATAAAAGTACTTTAGAGGAGACAAGATGATATACCTTATGTAAATGTAAATGCTAACACTACAATTAGCAAGTCATACTGGAAGAGACAGACATTTCCAAGGACAATCACAAAGTAAGCCTTTCTTGGTTTTAAAGCAGATTCATACATCACAGCCTTTCTTCCCTTACTTGGGCAATGGTTAGTGAGCATCTGTGATGTCTCAGTCCTTTGAATCTATAGGCACTGAAACAAAGCCCCAGAAAAAGGGTAAAAGGAGTTTGCATCAGGATTTTGACAGTTGTTCTACCTGGCAAGGACTCCAGTATCAAGATGCAAGTAAAATGGAATGCCCATCAATAGTATCCACTCCCTACACCTCCCTCAGGAAAAAAAAAATTACTTGTACAGAGTAACAGCCTACGGCAAAAACAACTTCATCTCACACAAGTCTCATTTCCAAGCAATTATTCATAAATGAGTTCTTTCAAATGAAGAAAAAAACCCCAGTTTAGCAGGTTTTGAAGTTTGAACAGATTCCTTTTCTTGTAACAAGTTCAAAATCTCATATCTTCTTTTCAGTGATTTTGAGTTGCCTTTCATTTGTCCAGTCTTCTGTTCCTCACTGGAGAGGTAATTAAAGTGAAGAGGGCCACAAATTTTGCTCCTTGGTAACATGAAGTAATGTTTCACCTAACTTAAGTATCCTCACCAATAAAAATATCGCATGAAAAAAAAAAATCCCTGCCCAACCTGAGGTGTTAAGACGGTTGAGTGACCAATACTTCAAGTCAACAGAACTGTAAACCACATTTTTGTAGAGAAAAATTTCAGTGACACATTAAAGTGCTGTTAATAGCACTTTGGCTTCTAGACCTGGCAAACTAAACTCCTTCTGGGATTGTTGCAAATGTCTACTTATTTCATAAGAGTTTCAATAAAAGGTACATATACCAACAATGCAGTCCGTGTTGTTAGTGACTATTCTCAAACACAGCGTTTAAAATGGTGTTCTAGCAAAATAATTTGCAAGAGCACAATGAGTTAAGTCCTGAAATTGCTTTTTAATGTAGTTTATTAACCTTTTAGAATCTAAGATCCAGATTAGGACCTTATGATCCACTAATGCCAAACAATTCAGTCCAAGTCTAAGTAGCTACATAAACTGGAGCAGATGTACAGAAGGTGCACTCCATGCTTGAGGATACAAAGTATTAAAACTGAGAAGAGGCTCCTAGTTCTAGTAGGGGTGGTGGTGGTGGAAGCTTTTAAATTTACTAAAATGAAGCACACTCAGGCACAGAGGCTATGAAGTGGTGGAGCACTCTTAGAGTGACAGTACTTTCTCCCTTCGTCAAGTGGCTACAAAGTCCTTTCTCGTTACACAAAGCAGAGTCAGGACTCTGCTGTCAAAAGATCACTGCTGAAGAAGTCTGAATTGGGTTCTGTCTCTTCAAGCAGTTACAGGGACAAGTTCCATGTGATTTGTCAGCTTCCTCTGTTAACATCAAGGAAGTCCTGAGCACCCTTAATGCTGTGAAAATAATCAACCTGTGGTAAGAGATCACATTGCTGGTGGAAGCATTAGCAATTTTCACACAGGTAGTCCTTACCAGAGATACGTATATCAGATTACCTCTGATATAACAGCACCCAGTTTAGACCGGCTGTCAGGAAGAAGCCACTTTCACAGAGGAAAATTCATATGGTGCCCAGTGCAGCAGTTGTCTCGGAAAAAAAAGAAAAAAACCCAAAACACCAAAACATCAGAGGAAGTTGTAATGATTCAGGCTTGGAATCTTGAGTATTAAACTTCAGTCTCACTTGAGAACTGAGGGAAAAACATTTCTCCTCCTCCCAGATTTGCTACAAATATCCATAGAATACCAGCATCAAGTGTGCTAGATATAAAATTGATGGAATGCTAGCTGGTCCATAAAAGGTTGCACCAAGTTGTCTGTAGCAAAGTAAAAAACTAGCCCAAAGGTTATGGAGATTGGAAGCGCTGGTAAGGCCTTCTTAAAGATGGCAAGAAGCAGAAGTGTAAGGCACAGACCCTGAGAGGAAGAAAAAAAAAAACACAAACCAAACAAAAACATAAGGAGAAATTAGGGAACTCTGACAAGCAAAAGATTTTTTATATATATATATAAAAAAACACTAACACCACAGAAATACAAGATACCATTAACGCGTTCCTAAACTAAAGGCATAAGTGATGGATGTACAGCCAATGAAAATCACAGCTGAAGCCCTCATCAGTATTCAGTCAGGCCACCAAATAAACAAATTCCAAAGGAAAAAATGTAGCAGTTATGACTTTGTCCCTGATAAACAACAGAAACTATCCCTATTATCTATTTCTATCTATTTCTAACAATAGAAATTATCCCTATATCACATTATACTCACAATTAATATGGCTACAAAACACGCTAAAGTTGTATTCCAGTCCCCGCTTGCTGTTGCAGAGGCTTTGCCAACAAGGACGCTGTAGAAAATGAAGTCTCCCAAACCTAGCTTTACTCCTCCTGCAAAAGTGAATATATGGCAGCATTAAGTATCAGACAGTCTACTAGTATTACATATCAGTAAATGTCAGAGAATAATACAGGTTTATATTAAGTATCAACAGGACTTGCTAAGAACAACATTTTATTTTCAAAACTAATACCACTCCTGAATCAAGTGATAAACTCTTGTGAAACAAGACGGCTTAGGAACATTACACCACTCAATTCATCCTACAATTAGAATTTTTCTATATTCCTAGTCTCCTGTACACACAAATGCAGTATATTCAAACTCAGATATTTATAATTATATTTGTTGTGGGGGTGTTCACTTTTGGTTGCCATGTCATATTCAACAGAATATTGAAGTAAAATTCCTTTAAGCTGGCTGAGGGAGGGGGAAAACAAGTAAGTCGCTTGCAGGTGGCCAGTTAGAAACCTATACCCAGCAAAATATTCCACTGCCCTCCCAATTTTCCTACAGAATTCTAAGGTAGTTCTAAAAAGCACTTGTGTGTAATTACAGAGCATATCACAGTGACAAAAGCCTGACATATTTAGTCCAAGATGTGAGGTTTAGGAAAATTAATGAGTTAACATCTTATTCCTTTAAATAGTAATTACCACCTTAACTCCCAGTCTGGGAGCATAATACTCAATTATTTCTGCGAGTGAAATAATGAAGATCTCCTGAATGCGAGTTCACTTTCTGATCTTTTAGTCCAAGATATTAAGTCAGAGAGGCCAGCATCAGGTCACCAGCTGTTTACTTTGTTACTTGATTACAGTCCAGCCCAAAATTCACTTTAGAGTTCTAACAGGAACCCAGAGCATCAAAACAGAGGTGTATGCCTGAATGATCACTGAGGAAAAAACAGAAAGGAAAAAAGGAGGGGAAAAAAAAAAGGGAGAAAGGAAAAAAAGAAAAAAGGCAACCCTACTCTCTTTCAGCAGGCCTCCAATATATGGTCTGGAACACTGCATTCATGAAAAGCTCTTAAGCACTAAAACACTCTTTAACTGCTGAAACAAAACTCGGATGCTTGTTTTCAGTGTGACAGAACAATAAAAGCAAAGGCAACTGCTAGATAACTCTTTCCACACAAGCAAACTCCCCAAATTTCTAATACGCTGCTCCAAGCTTCTAGTAAGCTAATGCTGGCTGACAAGTCTGACTGGATCACTGCGCATCTGTCATTACTATTCGCTGTAGAAATACAGGAAGGAAAAAATTTTTCATCTGGCTAGACAAGAATTTTAGTTAACCAGTCAGCTAACTAAAATAGCCCAATTCCTAAAATTTTTTGCATCTTAATGTTATTTTTCTAAGCTCTAGAAATTAAAATGGATTTGCAACACACTCTGAATTTGGAATTTTGGGGACAAAGTAAATTCAAAATTTTTCTTAAAGTAGAAGTCTCTATTTTTAATCAGAGGAGCACCTGAGAATCAAAGGAAGCCGTTGCACCTGCTAAATATGGCAGCATCTCATGTGGAGAGCAGTTTATTAGACAAGCAGACCCTAATTTATTTAGAGCTTTGCAAATCTAATACCAGCTCCAAATGGAAATCATGAGTCTATTAAAACAGGTATCTGAGTATTGATGTCATGTGCTCTCCAAAGATACTGTACCTCAGCAAGATGCTGGAGAAAAATACACAAGCCCATGGCATTCTGCATTCATTTCAGCCTCCAATTAGGTTTTAAACATTGCTTCATGCAGAGTAGTTTAATCTTGAGGCAAAAAAAGTTAATGACTGCATTTACAGGGCCTAAAACCCAAAAGAGATGATATACAGCAGAACACTGCCTGACAAAGACAGAAGCTAATGGAACTGACTGTATAATGGTCTGAAAGCAGCTTGTGCTATTGAAGTTTTGAGTTTATGTATCAAACTGAAGCTCAGTTTGGCCAATATTACTCACTCCTGCAGCAAAACCAAAAGCTACCAAAAATCAACTTCATCTATTTCAAAGGGGCACGTCAGTATAGATCATGAACAAAAGCAGCACTTCAGCTTGCTATTAGCTCATAGCATACTGTATCTGTGCAGTCAGGATGACTAAGACTAAGACTAACTAGCTTCAGATATTACTAAGTCTTTCAGGCACAGTACTCCATACTCACGTTCTTCGGGGTCTTCACTGGTTTGAGAGTTACTGGGTAAAGCCTGAACAGCAGCACGGGATTCAGGTGTTGATTCAATGGGTCCTATTCTATTGTCCCTTTGTTGCTGCCATTCCTGACTAAAGCCACCGTCATCCGCTTCAGCATCTTCATTCTGAGTCTGGTTTGCCGGAGCTCAAAGGAAGAAAGGCATTTAAGATCTCCTTCAAAAACTTGCCTTCTAAAACATGACAATCTCTCCACATGTAAGATCACAGAAGGATGAGGGGAAAAAACCAGGTATTCTGTAATATTTAGCAAAACCTAACATTGACACACACCATTACAAGACATTCTCACTTCAGATTTTAACACTTACTTAAACAATCAGGAGTCAATGTGCACTCTGCAGTCATAGCACCTACATGTTGCACTCAAGTCCTAGTATTCAGGAGTACTTCAATATAACAGAGTGGAAGCTCTGTGGTGACTTAATTTAAAGATCACAGTTTAAGGAATAACTATCATCTAATATTTCATTAGCTTCTTTAGTCACTATCGACTGCTTAATTTTCCAGTAAAATAGAAAACTTTACTGAAAGTTACTTATACATACACCCCTTGAAGCATGTTAAATTCAGAAATTCTGCTCCGCTTTAATAATACATGTAAACAAACAAACCCCAAGTTTTTAAACACTAGCTGCACAGCCAAAAGGGCTAGACACATTTCTTTTTAACACAAATATAAATGAGTTAGCATCATAGTATATCATCCCAATTTGACAAGTGATTGAGCTCAGTCAATAGTTGTCTATTGAGAGTCATTTCACCACCAACATCTTGCATCCCAGAAAAATGAATGCAATTACATTAACTGCACAGTAAGTGAGGAATTTTTGAAGTCTTGACAGATTCATCATTCCTAATAAGACCTCCATGCTTTCACTCTTCTACAGCACCAGGACACTTAAAAAGCTAAAAAAAAACCAAGTGTCCATAAACAAGTATTCCAATAAAATGACAACTATAAAGGCTTGCCGAAGAAAAACTCACCTTGTTTATCATAAGTGGAGTTTTTGGAAGCTTTCCGTTGGGCTTCTGGATCTTCTTCAGCCATGTTCACTAGCCATATCATTGTTGCTATTAAAAAAACCCAACAAAACAGTATAGCTAATCACATCCTCAGATGTATGCAATTCTGAGATAGTGCTGGCACCAATCCATTCTTTTTTCTTTTTCTTTTTTTTTTTTTTTGATACAACTATCTTTTGCAACAGGCAATTTTACTCTCATTAAAGCACAGTAATATCTGGAACACAGCCAGTACCAGCTACAACATGCATTTACAGAATTTGGTGAATAAAAGTTTTATTCTTACTAGATGTTGAAAAAAATTGCAACAGCTGTTGCCAGGGAAATTACTTCTATATATGAGGCCCACTCTGAAAATCCGAATCAACTATTTCTTTACTTTTTTCCATTAATCAGTTCTTTTATCTGCAAGTAAAAAGGTTTATTAAAACTAGTATTGAGGTAACTTCAATTTAGAGGCAGTATCGGCAAAGTTAATTGTTCTCTGCCCCCACTGTAACAAAGAATTCTCCAATCGGAGGTAATGAAATGTTGTCACACTTAAATGGTGTATTTTAATTCAAGTTTGTGGTTTCTCTACATTCACCTCTCCTCCCACAAAACAGAACAACAGGCAGCTATGAGCAGTATTGGTAAAACACAGCAAGAGTGACAGCTGAAGAAACCCCTCTTCTCTCCACTGTAAACTTGTCCCTGAAGGAGCCAGTCAGTCTACACCACACTTGCTGCTTTACAGGCATAATAATTTATGATTAACCTATTTCACTGTTTATCCCTATGATTACGACTAGCAACATGGAACTTCAGAAACAGTGGAATTATATGCTAATTGATACACAGGTCCTAACAGCAATTTGCATTCAGTACGTTATTTTTCACAACTGCAGGGAGAAACAGTATTATCAAAAGACGACAAGCTGTGGAGAAAGGAGAAAATAGATCTGTAAACAAATCTCTTCTAAGCAATTTCTCCTTTTCTTTCCAGTAACACACAAGTTAAGCACTGAAAGCTGATAAATATTTTCTAAAAACAAGTACTCCCTTTGAATAGGCTTGATTCACAGTCTAATGACATACTACTTTGGTCAAAACAAGGTGTATTACCATTCTTCCTGTTCATATTTTATAACAAAACATTCTGGTTTTTATCTTGCAAGATCTTAGCCAGATGATGTTCCACATTTTTGCGTCAATAGGGAAAGGAAAACTACAGCCCAAGTAAACAGAATTCCAGCTGCCAAGCATCACATTAAAAGACAGAAAAATGAGAGTAATCACTTCAGCTGACCAGGTGACTGTAAGTATTTAATTTAAGTATTTCATGAAATATACTTACAGGAGTAAATAAGTGCTGGGAAGAGAGTTTCATTTCTCTCTTGAGCTGTTTCAACTAGCATACGAAGAGGACCTTTAGGACACAGGACAGCAACCAAATCTGGAAGGAAGAGCAAAGAGATCTTACACCACTGCAGACATACTTTTAAGAAAGTTTTTCTGTAACACTTGCAGAGACTGGTAATAGGGTAAAATGCTAACTTGAACATAGACTTCTGAGAGCGCCAATGGGCACAAGGCAGTATCCCACAGGAACACCTTTTAATATTCTCAGTTGTGCAACCTATTTTACATATTACTGTAATATGTATTACAAATTTTAAAAAATGTGATGTTTCTCACTGAAAATATTATGTAACTGCAGATGTATCTGTGTGTATATGCAGATTTGCAAATTGAAAGCAAGTAATTCACGGAAGTCACTATTCAACTAACATCTTAGAAATACTCAAGCTTGCTTTCTTAACCCAAGTTTAATGCTAAATCAAATTTTAAGACAACAGGTAAATGAGGCATACATAACTTTTATGAAGTAGGCATGACTGCCAATTTATTCTCACTTAAAGAGGAAAGAAAGTGAATGTACATGTGAAGAGGAAAAAAAATAGGTTTATTAAGCCTTGCTGAAAAACGCTGTGTTTGCATAGATTTGAGAGGTGTTCAAAGCATATTTAGCGTAAGAAAAAAAAGCAGCTTTTTGTTGCTTCCCTCAATTCTTGTTCATGGGACAGTATATGAAACTGGATGAACAATTAAAAATTAACTGAAAAGCAATCATTTACAAAATAGGATGACTGCACAAGTTACTCATACAGATCAAAGCACAGCATTAAGAAAAACTGATCAGCAGGTGCTCCATTTGCTTTCTCACCTGAATGTTGATGGTTTGTTAATGAAATTTGCAACTCCACAACCAAATCCTGCTACTTTTCCCTTGTCTTGCATATTTGGACAGAAAGCTGCAACATTTACATATTAACCTTGCTACTATCTTTCGAAGTCATCCACTCACTGTATATCTTTAAATTCATTTGAAACAAAATCTGAGACCAAAAGGAGTATCTTACTTGTCAGGAGCTGTAAGTTGCACAGAGCAGTCCTGTACCTAAGCCAACTGCCCTAGCACCATTGCTGGTCCCACTCGAGTAAAGAATTCTTAGCATGGGGTCACAAGCTTTGAAACTTACCTCCCCTTTACTCAAAACAACCAAGTTATGGTCTTGGAATATGATCTAAAGAGTAATTTTGTTTTGTAATCACTGAATGAAGGCTGCACACTTGGAATACTCAGATTTGTTCCAGTCATAGGAAGGGTAGAAGTGGAGAGGGGGGATGGGAAGGTTTCTTTAAGATCCATGAGCATACACACAAGGGACATTTTTCCTCCCTCTGAAGGAAGAGGACACCCAAGGAGTACACTGACCTACCAGAGCTAATCACATCTTATTAACCCCTGCACTGCTACAACTGGACAGGTTCTCAATCTTTATCATTATCAGTGACTTTCAGAGTACACATTCATCACACTTCCATGCTTCCAAAAAAATTATGAGTACATCTTCATGGATACGGTAATGTTTTAATTATGTCTAGGTAACTAGATTTTAGTCTTGCCTGGGAACTAAATCAGTATCTGGGATATAGAGTGATCTTCTTACCAAAAGTGTCCAGTGCCCTCTAAAGCTTTATGAAAAAACTACATCTAGGTACCTCTCAGTCATCATTCTAAAAAAGCGTAATATGCGATAATTCAAATGAATTTTATTTTTATTTAAAAAAATCAAGGAAACAGATCTCACAATTATATCCTTTTGAATGTTAAATGACTTTGAGCAATGAAAACTGCCTTTAATCCTTCCTTACTTCCTTCTCATTATATTATTAGGCATGGATCAGGGTGTTGTTTCTATGTCCACAAATTTGAACAATTCATAGGTTGGGCAGATCTATACCTGTATGGGACTGTATCCAAACAACAAGCTCCTAAATTCTGAACATAGAATCATTTCCAAAGTTTCCTTTGGAAACTTGGTGAAAAAAAGAAACCAAAAGCTCTCCACCTTCATAGAAGAGATCAAAATGGCAACACAGGTCTTTTAGCTCCTCCTCTCTCTTACTTTAATTCTCCTCCCCAAAGAATCCAGAAAGTCCAGAAAACATGAAGGAAGATGGCATCACACGGCCACACAAAGCCCTTAGCTGCAGGGGACTGATCTCGGTTTAGATCATGATCTTATTTCTGAAGTCTGTAATCACCTTACCCGCTACTGTGGATGACACCCACCCCCTTTTTCTTTTTTTTAAGGTATAGTCAGACAAACGGAAAATGAGCAGTCAGGGAATAAAAGAAATTCCCACCATAATATCTTTTACTATGCCTTGCCCCAGACCTTACCATACACTGAAATAACAGCCAGGATAAGCCACGCAGTCCATTCGGGAAGGTACTTAATGAACACCAAGGCCATGAGAGCGCTTATCATAATGAGATATGCCTGCTGGAGCCGAAGCGGACCCTTCCAATGAATACAAATCATTCCCACAACACCGAAGTTCCAGATCATGAGTGCCACTGTAATGTAGTCCATGGCAACGTTATAAGTCTTAAAAACCTCACTAAAAAAAAATATGGAAGAGAATATTGACTGCATTTGCTTAAAACAACGGAAACAAGTTACAGATGCAAGCTTCACAACATTTAAAAAAAAATTTCATATTCAATGTAGTGGCACAAATGTAAAATTCTATCTCCAATTAGTACTTAACCATTCTTCGCAAAGGGGATAATTTTACTAGTGTTTGCTTCACATGAACTCTTTCACTTTTCTGAAAATTTTCGTAAATGTTCTACTTCCTTCTCAATCAAAGCAGAAACTGACAGGAAGGGACGTTACTGCAAAACTAGTCATTTTGATTTTGTTCACGATTTTTAAAAATCGGAAGAATAAGAACTTGTGAGGTTATAACGGATCTTTAAAGGCATGCAAACAGATCTCCTTCTACTTACCTACCTCCTGTGGAATGGAAACACTTTGCTAACTTCAAAGTAAGATATACACGGTTATTCTATTTTATTCTTCGCCACAAACACTAAAGTGAAAAGCTTTCTTTTTGGATGAACCATGTCACTCTGCCACACCAAATACTATAAACAAATTAAGACCCTCAATAACTAATACACCAAAATAGACAAATATGTTGTCATCAAGTCACAAGTGACTTCCACTAATCCCGGGAAGCAACAGTTGTGATGGATGTTTGCAGATTCTGCCGCTGCCAATTCATGAAGCTACCAAGAACCTTATAATTTGCATGATACTTTCCTCCAGGAAATTTGTCTTCCCTAGTTGTTAGCTGGCCTTTGAGATGTACGGTGTTAACAGGATGCCCCTTACTGCTATCATGTATTAACTGGTCTATCAACTCCCTCCTCACTCACTAGACCTCTGAAAAAGGATGCCAGCACTGCTGTGAGGCAGCAGGGTCAGGTGAAGGAAAGCAGAGTGTCAGGAAAGTCTTCAGTCCCTCTAGTCACACATGCTCATGGAAAAGTGCCAGCTCCAACCCGAACCCAAAGGAAGTGAGCCTGGCAACTTGCTTCCACCCAGCCTGTACTTCAAAATATTGCCCTGTATTTCAAAAGTCGTTACTATGGCTAGAGAAAATATTAACCAAAAAAGGCATCACAGATGACTTTTAGCAAAATTAGTGACTGAAGGAACACAACTTTCTCCCCCTAGAGATCAAATTAAATAAGCTTCTTCAAAGAGAAGTGTATATGTCACCAAGTGGTACAAAAAATATACACACTACAAGAATTTCATGGCATATCTCTAGTTACGAACCCTAGTCAGGTTGCTCGTTTTAGAGAATACTGAGTATTATGTACCACTTTTCTTGATGTCTGGATAAAGACATGCTTCCAAATTTGAAAAGAAAAACACTGAATATATTTTGATGAGAGAGCAGATTCTTTTCAGCCACTCCCATGCAAACAGCCTTTGCATATACAGCCCACCACCAGTGGTAAACAATGGCCCTCAAGTCATACAGCTATGAAATATTAAGTTATCAGAAGATAGACTAACAGAATAACCTGTCCTGTGGAAGATAGATTATTCTAATGATGAATAATCATCAATAATAATAATAAATGCATAATTTGATGCATGTGTAAGGGACAGCTCCAGTACAGTATCAGATGCACTATAAACTCATAAATCTCTTTCTCTTTTATGTGTATTCTATGAACCTATATAAACCCAAAAATTTTATTGCAATAGCTTACCCATTACTGTCATTCTTGTTTAAGGTTCAAGGGCTAGTTCTGAAATACATACATACATAAAGTGGTTGAAAAATGGTACATTAATGCTTTAGTTCACTTACCCCAGGTAGATGAATGAGAAAAAGAAAAGCAGCAAAAGAGAAGAAATTATAAGCCAACCATGGATCACCTGGGAAAAAAAAAAAAGAGTTATCAATACAGATTTTTTTAAGATTTTATCTTTTAAACATAGTATCTACTTAAAAATGCCTTTAAGGCTATTTTCCCTTTTGAATAAAGCAAGAAAATTATATTCAGATCTCTTTCTTTGGCTGTTGCTAAATTCATATTTAGTCTATACACGTTATTATATTTTAATTTACACTTATGAATTTTAAGTGCTTTGTGGTCTTTCAATAGAGGTTCTATACAATGAAAACTACTGTTTGTGTATTTTTAGGTCATTTTGATAACAGTATCATTATAACGCAGAAGCATCCAGCATTAACACAGATTGAAAATACGATTCGTTTTTTCCACAATTAAAAAGACTGCTCTGATTGCAAGTAATTTTCAGAATACAGTTATAGAACTAAATGCTGGAACATAGGAAAACCTTCAGTGCTTATCTGCTGGAATTCAGTATTAGCATGTAATCAATGAATGACTATGTAAGGATTTCTACATTCTCTATCCATCATCTATACACGTAATCTCTAATTTTCATACGACAGCAGTTATACATGCCCAACAGTTTATCAAAAAACAATTCAGGGTTGTACTCAGCAGGGACACACATAGATTTAAACTTGGAAATGACAGGCACTCAGACTTTGCACTGACGCAAGTGCACAGCATGCTTGTATATTTCTGTGCAAAATTAAAAATTAAGATTGAAAAGCCCTGTAACTTTGGTAATCTCTGAATTCAGAATGAAACATGTATTTGTCAAATTCATAGCACAGAATCCTATATATAAAACCAGACCAAACATTGCAAGTAGATAACCAGTCAGAAGCAATAACCTAGAAATTCAAGCTGCCTAAGAAATCCTGCTTTGCATAGACATGCTCAGTGGAAAATTAACTAGTTAAATTAGCTATATATGTATACCAGATCAAAGTATTCAGAAACTAGGTTAGAAATACAATTTCTAAACATTTCTCTTTTTCTAAAAGATGTGCAGTAGAATACATACTATGTTACAGTTTCTACAATATTTTGCAAAATTTAATTTAAAAGTCAAGCCCATATGTACACAGACTAAAAGAATCATGTTACATGAGGCAACCAGGACTTTCCAGCAAATTAAGAATCTAGTTATTACAGTTAGTAATTTAGTACAGTTAGTCTAATACTTAATTTTTCATAAGCATTTTTAAAATTCTCAGCAGTATTTGAAACATTCATTCTCCTTCTTCACACTTTCTCTCTTTCAAAACAGGTTCAAATTTAACCTTCAATGTAATAAAACCTGTCATTTCACTTGCTAATCTAACAGATTGGCTTTCCATATTTGTTAATGTATTCTCAAAAAGACTTAAGAATGGTGCATGTTATATTATAGTTTAAAATATTTTGCAGAACTGAATTTAAAAGTCAAGCCCATATGCACACAGACTAAGTCTCAGTCCATCAAACTGTCACCTCTGATGGGGGGGGGAGAGGAACCATATTAAAGCTGAAGACTGATAGGTACCTGAAACAGAATCCGACTTTCAAACAACTTGTAAAGCTACCTATATATCTCAGTAGTAACCTAAAAGAGTAATTTTATTTCTCTGTAAAACTAGTTGAAACCATTTTAAGAAAATGGCAAAGCAAGCTCTGCCATTTCTTTTAATAACAGCATGACTTCTACCTGTAGTTATTCTATTTGTAGTATAAGCTCTTAAACTTTCTTACCACTTAAGAAAATAATGTGAATACTAATGTTTCATTTTAGTAAAGAGTAAAATGCTCACAATGTCAACACCAAGGCCATAGTCCAGCAAATGTTTGCATGCACTTTGTATAACTACTGCCAACAGTACTAAAGGGGGTAGTTTCAATAGTTGGTGTAAGTTGGCATTTTACACACAGATGTTTGTTTTATATCATGAGTATGTATCTCATTCGCTATACCATCTTCCAGATCACTGGCCTCTTTTCATACAAGTGATTTTTCCAAAGTATTTCTTCTAAGTTTTGGCCAGCATTTTCCTAGCAGCATACCATAACAGGTTTGTTGTCTTAATTAAAGAGTTTTCATTCTTCATTTGACAACAGCTTCAACACTAATTGATCACTGGTACAGAGTCGTCTTTGCCTGCTACAACTTGAATAAAAGCTAAGGATTACAGAATGCAGAGAATTAAAATGAGCTACAGCAGCCAGATTTTGGTTAAGCAGACTAAAGCAATGAAAACTGCAGAGAATAATAAAATACATTATAAAGAAAAGCTAGTCAAATAGAATCACCTTCAAAGATGCTGTTTCTGGTTAGACTTGGAACCATGCTGCTCATTTACAGGAGAAACACAGGAAACTAACAGCAGTAAAGCTGAAATAGCATTTCCTTTCTTCAAAGGAGTTTTCAGATAAAAATTTTGTGAAGATACGCAAATTACCACTACCAGTTGGAGGACTAACATTCTTTCATTATAATATAGACTACATATAGAACTACATGTAAAATAGAATTCATTGGACAGGTAACTACATTTTATAGCATTCTGGTATAGCAGCATAGAAATACTCTGTTAGCAATTCTAAAAACACAAAATTAGTTACTTCTTTAATTAGCATAAAATAGGACAACAGGAAATTTCTGCTGTCTAATCATTCTAATTTTTTAGTACAACAATTATTTTTGTAAGGAGAACATGCAGTGCTTTTTAAGGTCAAGAGGGAAACCAGAAATGTGAAAAGCTTAGTAAAAACTATTTGATGCCTTCAGCACCTGAGGAGAAGTGACTGGAGAACTGGCTGCAAAGGAACCTAGCTGAAGTAGATCAGTTATTTGACTTCATTAGAATGAACGGAATTGACAGTTTAAAAAGAAAACTTTGTCAGTTCAGATTTAACACCACACTGTGATAAAAGAGAAGGTCCACACTTTAAAAAACACTATTCCAAGCTGCATGCAGATTCAGGCAGAAATCATTTCCCCAGTCACTCCACAGATACTTTGTAAAGGGGTTTCACTCACAGCCATGAAGACCAAAAATAAAGTGGAGCAATGCTTTGTGCCAGTGCACGGATCTCACAGACTGTTTTACAACTACGAAACGGATTCAAGGTTCTGGCTGCACACTGGGAAGTTTTACCATTCCAAGCCTTGTCAAATAGGTCCTTAAGACTAAAATACAACCAGGAATTTTCATGAACAACTCCTGCCAGGCAAGTGACATTGCAATTATTTATGCTAAGCCTGGACTTGCCTAGATTACATCATTATATGATTGAAGTCTTTCACAAAAGAGCCTTAGAGTCTCTGTGTTTGTTATAAGGATATTGCCTGGTGTGTACAACCACGCACACATCACAGTGTCGGGGGACTTCTATATTGGGGGCAGGGTGGAGGAGAGGGGAGCCCTTGAGAAGCCCCTGAAGTCCTGAATAGCTTTCAAATTGTAGGACCAGGTCTGTACTTTGTAGTTCTTAACCACAGGATGATTTCGGTACATGGTACATTTCACCGGAATAGGAAGCAATGCCACCCTAATTCTAACTGACAAAACAGCCAGCCGTGTTAGCACTGGGCCTTTGCCCCTCCATTGTGTCAAAGAAACAGAAGCCACAAAATTGAAACAGTGAATTGAATCACCAATTCTGCTACTTTTGCTAACTCATCCTTGATAACCCTTCATTTTGTTCCATTCTTGATAATCTGTACTAATAAATAAAAGTAGCACAATTACTCAAGCCAATTATATTTATACTCACCTTGTAGCACCTGTATTTGTAAAGCACAACCAGGAGTATGGTCATGACAATGATAACGCTGATCATGATAGCGGCATTGAGAATTGAATTCAGGGCTCTCTGTCCTACTGTCTCTGTCTCTTCTGTGAAAGGAGTGTAGATGCTACAACAACAAAGAGTCAACTGAAATGCCACTGAACATACAGATGTTTCTGATATGTGAGGTCAACATCAAATGAAATTGCAGTAATCTTTCAATTCAGAGCTGTAAAAGTAACAGCTATTTTATACTTTGGCAAAATTTGAAAGGCGGTGTAGTATCATATTAGGCAAACTTTAATAAAAAAAATTTCCTTAAAAGACTTTTCTTTCCTACATTCTTATATTACTACTATTTTCTACTTTGTAAAACAAACAAAAACCAGAACTCCACATGCTATGAATCATTAGACTATTACTGCAGCTAGACCTTTATAAGCATACCATCTAGTGGATTTACAGTGAAAGGTTCTCCAGTGATTTCAAGAAAACAATGTATGGGCTCAACTCTCTTTTTCTTAAAGAAATACAATGACCTGGGGGGGGAGGGGAAACCCTACTTCTTTATGGGGAACAGGAGAGGGGGAAGGAAACACCATAAATAAAAACTCAAGAAAAAGAATTCTTTGATCAGCAACTTTGATAAGTGAAAAAGGACTCTGTGTTTTATTGAAACATTTTATGACATGCTTGTATTATATTATACAAACATTTCAAAGCCAAACACACTTTGAATCATTTTGTCTAAACGTTTTCACAGTGGAACATTTAGACTGATTTGCTGCAGGTTCTGACAGGCTCTGTGTTCTTTCCTTTCACTCAAGTCAGCTTTCTCTGAAATTACTTTTTTTTGGGCAACATTAATATTTTGCCAAAAAAAAAAAATTCTATACAGGAAACCTGCCAGGAAAGTTTTTATAACGGCAACAGAAGTGAACCTCATAAAGCTGTCTTACCTGTTGCATTTGAATTTCTTTAACAGCACAGGCAAACCAGAACTTGGCATATATGCTACTTCATTTAAATGAGTAGTTTGTTGTTTCCTTTTCCAAAATCTTTGCATTCTAGCAGCATACAACTGAACTGGCTTTGGCTCAGTTTATTTTATAAATACCAAAAGGCATGATGAAGTATTAAAGTAAGAACTAGGATTTGAATCAAGCAGTAACAACCAAGATATTACCTAACCGGTCACCACACAGAGAGCAAATGCCAATAATCCCACAAATCTAGAGTATGGTTTCTGGAAGGAATAAACTAAAACTACCTTTGGGCTGGTGGAGAGGAAAAGGGAATTCACTACTTGACTTAGACCCCTGAAGAAAGGGAGATTAAAGAAAATTATCTAAGTGAGTCCATTGAAAAGATAGGGAAAAAAATTGATACATACAGCTGTCCATCCTTGCGCGTATAAAAGCTGACAGACTTGATGGTTGCAACAACGACCACCATGCAAAGTGTGACAGGTACAAACAACATAATCACATGTTTTGCTCCATATTTCAGTGTCAGCTCCTCATCTTCTTCTTCGTCTTGTTCCACCACTTGCTGAATGCTTTGTGGCTGCCCATTGGTCTCAGACTCAGGATTGTCGTTTCTTCTGCGCTCACTATGATCATGGCGACGTCTTTCACTGTTGTCATTCTGTAATATATAAAAAGAAGTTTCCTCAGCAACGACCCACAATTATATTCTCAAAGCTAAAGATTAAAGACAAGTGAAAGATGATCTTCAACAGTACATGTGTTAAGGTAATATTTACTGTCAAAAACACTTGCCACAGCAAGGACTTAAACAGTAGTAGTTAATTGCATCACAGTTATAAAAAAAAATGTGAGCACAGGGTTATGTTAGAAGCATTTATATTAAAAACAGCAGCAGCTGAAAGTAGGGCTGGTTGCATCTAACAGCCTATGTCACCTTTCCTTTAAACAGAATATAAAAAGCTGAGTAAAGACAGACAGCTTTTTCCCTTGGTCCAAACTACAGTCGATACAAGGGTGCATGACAGTACATTACTCACAGCTTGACAAGAATTAACTGTATCTGTTCCTAGAAATAATGCCAAACAGACATCTATGAACCTAACTCCATGAAAGTCCCAATAAAATTTCTACCTTCCTTACCACATTACTCCCACTACAGTACACTAGCTGTGTTAAAATGGAATTTCACAAGGTATTGTGTTCCCACGTTTTTTGCGAGAAGAATGACACAGAAATGGTGATCAAACTCAGGTAATTCTCATTCTTTATGTTGACAATTGTTCCCAAAGTTTGGGCGTGATGAGCTAAGTGTGCAGATTCTTTCTCTCCTTTCCCAAGAATACTACTACCACATCCTTTCACTGACACTGAAGAAATTCCACCACTCCTGTCAACAAATATGAAAGAGCCTCCTAGCCTTCCTGATACTGCTACATGAAACATCAAGGGTATAATTCAAACACAAGGACAGAATTAAATGTTCAATGGAATTAAGATTAACCACAAGCAAAAACACAAACTGGGACTACCACCTACAAGTAAATGATCAGGCCTGCGCTCCTCCTGTTGTCACAAACCTTTTGTCCCTCTCCAAGAAGCCTGGTCAGAAGGAGGCATTCAGCCTTTTATATGTTGTGTGCAGATACAGAGAACACAACCGGACAGTGAGCTACATTTTACCTGTTCTGGACTACAAACAAACATTTTATATTTACCAGCTACTCTAAACAAGCCCTAAAGTTCCACAGTTTATACAGTCTACTTTTCTTTTTACTGTATTACCATATCCAAAGTCAATGCTGTACTGTTCCCACTCCCGCCACTCAAGAGGTTTAACATAAGAGAGATATAACACAAAGATTTTTGACTTCTTACAAAATTAATCTAATTTCTTCAGAATTACTCAAACTGAACTGTTTGTAAATGAAGTGCACTGAAGCAGCTTTAGATTAAAATGTGCAATAAACTGAAGGAAAATACCTTTTGCAATACCTTCAAAATACCATTCAGTTTTAATAAAATTGCTCTAGACATAAGATACGGCATTGCAAATAACCTAATTATTTCTGCTTTAGTACTCATACAGGTAATTTTTTCCTTAAACATGTAATGTTGAAGTCTCATTACCTGTTCTTAATAGCATTTCCAAACCTAACTGCTGACTTGTATCTCACCAACTCACTGCACTTTTTTGATGAATCAATAGTAATTTTGGAGATTCCTTATATAGATTTTCTCCTAACCCCGCCATCAGAAAAGATAAGATGTTAAGTACACACTCAGAAACTCAGAGTGGAGTTTTCAAAAGCACTTAAGTGATTAAGGAGTACAAGTCCCTGGACTTTGAACTGCAAACACTGACACTGCTAAAACCTTTGTTGAAGCTTTACAACTTCCCCAAGTCATGAAAAATTTGCTTTTACAAGACGTTATAAAGTAACAATACACATCAAATGCTTTGTCTATTTACTCCTTTTTTGTGGTATCCTCAGGATCGAGTTCA